GCTGGAACAAGTGGATATCTACGTGGAAAACAATAAACTTCAATGCTTACCTCACACCATCCACACAAATTAACCCCAAAAGAATCATAGACCCAAGTGTAAAAGCTAAAACTATGAAGTTTCTAGAAGAAAACATAGGAGGAAATCTTTGCAGCCTCTAATAGGCAGAGATTTCTTGGATGAGACACACAAAAAGCACAAACCATACAAGAAAAAGTTCAAAAGTTGTACTTCATCACAATTAAAATCTTCTGTTCTTCATAAGATAACAATAAGAAAATGAAAAGGCAAGCTACAGACAGGGAAAAAATATTGCCAATACCTTCTGACACAGGACTTATATCCAAAATATGTAAAGAACTCTTACAACTCAATAAGGCAAATAACCCAAAGAAAAAGACATTCAAATGACCATATGATCCAAATATCCAGTCCTAGATATGTATTCAAGAGAAATAAAAACATGTCCACAAAAAGGGATGAACATGAATGTTCATAGCAGCTTTATTTGGAATAGCCCCAAACTGGAAACGATCCAAATGTCTATCAACTGGTGAATAAATAAACAAATTGCAGTACATCCATACAGTGGAATACTACTCAGCAGGGAAAAAGGAATGTGCTACTGATACATGCAACAACATGGATGAATCTCAAAAAATTATTTTGAGCAAAAGAATTCATACACAAAAGGCTATATACCATATGATTCCATTTATATGAAATTCTACAATGGGCAAAACTAAAGTGACAGAAAGCAGGGAAGTGGTGAAGGGGGTGCTGGTGGGAGAGTGTTGACTGCAAAGGAGCACAAGGGATCCTTTGGGATGATGGCACTGTTCCATATAGCAATCATGGTGGTGGTTACACAGGGTATACATTTGTTAAAACCCAAACCATGGGGGCTTCCCTGGTGGTGCAGTGGTTGAGAGTCCACCTGCCGATGCAGGGGACATGGGTTTGTGCCCCGGTCCGGGAGGATCCCACATGCCGTGGAGCAGCTGGGCCCGTGAGCCATGGCCCCTGAACCTGCGTGTCCAGAGCCTGTGCTCCACAACGGGAGAGGCCGCAACAGTGAGAGGCCCGCGTACCACAAAAAAAAAAAAAAAAGAAAAAAAAACCCAAACCGTGCACTTAGAATACATGCATTTTATTGCATGTAATGTTGATTTGGAAAAAAAAATTAAGGTTGTGTTTTGCTTCTTCACAATGATGACACTTCCACAACCCAAGGAGATGGTTAGAACCCTAGCAACCACCAAGAGTGAGCCTGTACTGAGCACTTAGTATGTGCCAGGCACCCTACCAGGCCCTTTCATTCGTTGTCTGAATTAAGCCTCACACCAGCCTTTAGGATGGGTATTATCATCACCCAAAGCTCAGACAGGTTAAGACATGTGCCTGGAGTCACACAGCTAGCAACAGGCAAAACCAGGATTCAAACTAAGTTCTAGATGACTCAAAAGCCTGTGCTTTCATAAACGGATCTGTACCATCCCTAGATAGGAAAGAAACCCAAACAGGGCAGAGGTCACACATTTAAAGAGCACCACCAAAGTCAACTACGATTTTAAAAGCTGCATCCGCAGGAACTATTTCTAGATACAAAATTCACTGAGATGACTTTTGACAAGGCCTAACATATACCCAGCTCATCACATAATACAGTGAGTGTTCATTTATAAAACACCACAGAACTTAAGATTTGCAGAATTCCCAAGCCATTTGAGCCAAAACATGAGCTCGTGAGTAATCCTAGACTTCCAAGCCAGGACCAGCTGGTTAGGGAACATTAGGACCTCCAGGTGCTAAAGAACTTGAAGGCAAGTGACTCGATCGTGGACAACACTGAGAGTGGTCCAGAGCCAGGACAAACCTGGTCCACCTTCCATCCCACTGTCATCGTGCCATCCTCTGGGAGCCCACCTGATACCCGAGCAGGGCTCAGTGCATCCTATCTCACTGCTGAGGACAGAGGAGAATGCTGTGACCTCACCCATCCCGCTACAGCCAAGAATCTAACAGATTTAACCAAGTAGGGGAGGGGGCAACCCTCTACCTCCTCACCCTCTGCAGCTCCTTTGCAGCTGCAGCTCTCCTGGGTGACCACACAGTATTAGCTCTAGTGGCTAATACTCTCTGTAGAACAAAGAGTCCAGATTGGCGGCAGGACCTGGTTTCTATCCTGCCTCTCCCACTAGCCTGCTGTGCGACATAGCGTGAGTCACTGAAACTTTCTCACCCTCAGTTTCCTTTTGGGAACTATTTACACCCATCCTGTATACCTCAAGAATGGGTCTGAGGATCAGATGGCAGAGGGGCTGAACAAGAAAATTATTTGTAAACTGCAATACTAGTTACGTTATTATCGGCATCACCAGAATTAGGTACTAGGCTCAAGTAAAAGCACCAGAAGCAGTTGCTGGCTCACTGATTTGGGGATGATGGTTCTTTCATCTGAAAAACAGGAATAATAATACATGACCTGCGTGAAGCAGGGAGTTAGACCAGAGAAACTTTGGGGGTCACTTCCAACTCTAAAGCCTGATTCTATGATCTTAAAAGCCCCAAGAAGATTGGCCTCACCTGCTCTCCTGATGTCTGAATTTTCTTTTATCAGGATGCCAAAACACTTGATCTTATAATCAGAAATGAGACTTCAGATGCAAATGACCTAGAGGGGGGAGAAGCACATTGCCTCACATTCTCACTACAGTGTTATAGATTCCTTCCAGAGAGCGAATTCGGATAGTACGATGGAGAACCTGGCCTAACTGAGTCATGAAAGGGCTTCCTCAGTGAGAATTCGGGCTGCATCCTGTCTGTTCTCTGAGACCAAACACAGAACAGCACAAAACCCCAGTTTTAGCTTATTCTCTGAACATTTTTCCTCCTCCCCAGACTGGGGTGGTGGTGGCTTGAGTGTATTTTGCCAGCTCTGTCCAGGGGGGCTCACGACTTGGAAGAGGTTCCCTCTCAGCCCCAACCCATGCCTGATCCACCATCTCCCTTTTCATTTCCAAGACTGCCCCCTTGCTCACGGCCCTCAAATTCTAAACCCGTGCACTGCCACAAACTCCTTTCCCTTCCAACCACACCAGCCTGGGTGGTTCCAGCTTCCTGGAGCCCCTCTCCTCCCATCTCATCTGGCCCTTGCCCCATCCTCAACCTCCAAACCCAAGCAAACACAAGGATTGTGAAAATGAACTGATATCCAAGAGGATGCAGGCACCATTTGTCCACACCCCTCTCCTGCCCCCACTTTCCATTCCAGCTCAGAAACCCCTGCTGGGGCTGGAATATCAAGACACTGTATCTCCTTAATAATTAGTAACATTAGTTGAGCATTTACTATGTGCCAGACCCTGTTCTAAGTGCTTTACATGTACTAACTCACATGATCCTCATATGAAATAAGCACTATTATTCTCATTTTAAGGATAAGAAACTGAGGTACAGAAAGGTTAAGTGACTTGGCCAAGAGCACACAGCTAGCAACCAGATGGATTGGGGATTGAGCCCAGAGTCTGTGCCCTATAACCATTTTATCCTGTCTGCTGAGGCAGGAGCAGTGCCTTTTCAAGACTGAAATCATTGGGAAACGAACATGAATGCACAGTGCTCTTGAAGTGGATAGAGAGGCTCAGTCATATCAAGTTTAGCCCCTTCTCTGTACAAAAGGGAACAATGAGGCCAGAGACTAAGTGATCTTCCCAAGTCACCAGCAAGCTGAGCCCTGAGCTAGGGTCTGGGCTGATGCCACCCGCTATATATTTCAGGAGCGGCCACTGCCCACAGCCAAGGCGTGTTTTAACCAGGGGTCATGACCTGGAAATTAGCCCACAGCCCTTATTCCAGCCTGTGCAGGACCTCTCAGACCCTCTCAGACCCTTATTCGCCCCCTCCCTGCCAGGTCCTTAAGAGCAGTCTCTGGCAGGTCACTTGCTTGGTGGTTTATGTTTTTTGGTTTTTGCTTGTTTGTTTTTGCCTTTGCTGGGGTCAGACTGTAAACCTCACCTTGATTTGGGGTGAGGATCACAAAAAGTGCCATGATTTAAAGTAAGAGACTGTATATATTTAGAACAGGCTTTGGGTGGAGGTCAGGAAAGTCCCTTCACACCCACGACCCCATCTCCCACCCCAAGTCCCTGCAATTCAGGGTCAGAGAAGGGGGGACAATTGCCCTGTAACTTGCTCTTCAAACACTGCCCACTCCCACCCATTCTCTCCCCAGCTGTCACCCCCAACTCTGACCCTCCTTTTCCAATCATGTATACCGCCTCCCCTCTTACTCTCTTCGTCATTCTCCTGAGAAGTCACCCGACGCCAGGTCTGAGATTTGGTTGGGTTTCCCCCACAGACGGTTCCCTCCCGCTCTCCAGTTGACACTCCCCACGGTCCGCAGGTTCCCGCATCCCTCTTGGATCAGCGCGATCCCCTCCCCCGGCCTCGGTAACAACCCACCCCACCCATCCAGCCTCCGGGTCTCCGCTCTGCGGGGCGAAGGCAGAGGGTCGGCAGGGAGCCCCAGGCAAGGACGGGTGGCTGGACAGAGCCCAGGACGGGGGCGGACAGGGCACCGAGTGAGGATCCGAGAGGGCATCCGAGCGCGGGAGGGACGCTTTGGACAGGCAGGGACAGGGAGCCCCGGGGAGGACGGGGACAAGGTCCGAAACGCCTGCAGAGTCCGGGAGCTTGGGTGGGGGTCTGAGACCCGGCCGAGTGGGCGGGATGAGGTCTCGGACAGGACGGGGTGAGAAGAGCGGCGGTGAAGGGGACCAGAGCTCGGACGCTAGAAGGTGGGATCCGGGTCTGAGTCGGGGAAGCCAGAGAAGGCGTTCTGGGCGCGAACTCCGACCCCGAGATGGGGCTGGGTATCACCGGGGCTAAGGTCTGAGTTCGAGATCCCGCCGGGGCCAGGGCCAGCGGAAGGGAAAAGTTGGCCTTGCTGCAGCGGGAGGAGGGGAAGGCAGGCGGGCCGGGGCGCGGCGGGCACTGACCCGAAGTAGGCGGCGGCGGCGGCGGCGGGCAGCGCCAGCAGGCAGAGCGCGGCCAGGGCCAGCGCGGGCGGGGGGCGCATGATGCCGGCGGCGCGGCGCCCTGTCGCATCTCCTCGCGCCGCTCAGCGCTAGCAGCGCCGCCACCAGCCGCCCGCGGGGCTTTAAACCCCGGAGGGGCGGAGCGGGCGGGCGGACAGGAGCGGCGCTGGCTGCGCACCCCCGCAGGCGGCGAGCCCCCCGCCTCATTGGCCCCGCCGGCTTGCCCCGCCCCGTCGCGGGTGGGGCCACCGCCCCGGGTCCGCCCCCGCCCCGCCCCCAGCTCCCGCGCCCACCCTCCCCAGGTGAGAGCTCACCTGACGCGGTGCGGGCCTGGAGACGCGGTGGCTGAACGTGAAGGTCCCGCGCCTGGAGAGGCGAAGATGGGGGTACGAGCCGGGGACCAGGGAGTTTTTGCCCCTCCGGGCGGGGTGGAGGCACACGCAGGATACCTTCCCCCAAAGAACAAGGCGGCGTAGAAAGAGGAAGGCGCCTGGAGTCTGAGCAGAAGTAGTGTCTCGTCCGCTCTCTAGACGGGCCGGTGCGGGTCCCTCTGCCCAGGCTCCACGACTCCGAAGGCAGGGCCGGCTGTGGATGCAGAGCCGCTCTTCCAGAGCAGGAGAAATGCACGTCTAACGGCAAAGGGAGTCCTGGTTGGGGCAGGGGGGGGGTCCCTTGGTCAGAGCGGAGTGGGGAGAAGGGAGCCCAGTTTCTAAACAGGAGACTGTCAGGGAGGACGTCTCAGTGAGCATTTGCTGATGTTCATGGAACAAAAATGCAGATCCTCTGGTCAGTGGGGGCAGGCAGAGCCAGGATGGGGGTGGGAGAGGAACCTGCTTTCTTCCAAAGAGTGTAGACGCCAGAACTTCTGTCAGATAGGGTGGAGGTGTCCAGTGTTGGGCCATAAAGCTCTGTCTTGCTTATTCTTTTTTAAAGTTTAACCCCAATTCCTGCAGCGAAGGTGCAGTGATCAAGGCAGTGTGTGGCACCCATCTAGGAGGGAGGCATACAACAAATGGCCCAAGCAAGATTTAATATGTTTTTGAGAGTCTTGAACACTGGGTCAAATCAAGCAAAACAAAATAGAACTTGCACTGAATGTCAAGATCTGCATGTAAAGTTTCCAAAAAATCAACCATGCATGCAGAACATCAGGTGACAGTGACCTTGGCTTTGTGAACACAAAGGCGCTGGGAGACTGGTGGGAAGACGGGAGCTGCAATATTAACAGAGGAAGCCCCCAGCCATAGTGAGCCTCTCTGGGCTCAGTTCCCCTGTCCAATGAGGGGAGTGATTAGCTAATGAATGATCTTTAACAACTCTGACAGCGATATCGCATCTCATGGTTCTGTTTATTGAGGCACACGGTCCAGTGTGGTGGCCAGAGACATGAATTCAAATCATGTAAATTATGAACCTCAGATATGAAATGGGGATGACGATAAATATCTCACAGGATTTTTGTGCAAATAAGAGTGCATGCCATGGGAGTTCCCTGGAGGTCCAGTGGTTAGGACTCCATGCTTTCACTGCCAAGGGCACAGGTTCAATCCCTGGTCAGGGAACGAAAATCCTGCAAGCAGCGTGGTACGGCCAAAAAATAAAAAAAAAAAAGTGATGCCAAATGCCTAGCAGGTGCTGGCACTCAATATCAGGGGTTGTTATAACTGCAGGTATGACCAGTGGTGTGCTGCATTGCGGGGTGGGTGGGAGTCTGATTTATATCATTTGCAGATTCCCGTGCTGCAAATGTTGCCACCGTGGCTGATTTCAAGCTACCAATGTGGCATCATCCTTGATCTAAGGAGTTAGGAAGAGATTTGCACAGGTGGCTCCACAAGCCAGTCCAAACCAGCTCCAGCACACAACTAGTAAGACCTTGAACCAGGCTCAACGAGGCTCAGAGGAGGGGAGGCCAAGCTGGACCAGTGTGAGTCAGAGAGGAAAAAGAGCCCCCACCAGGCGCCAGCCACCCCAATGGGCACCTGAGTTCGGGCAGGTGAGGAGGGAGCTGCCCCAGCTGCCCCTCCTGTCCTCATGCCCATGGGCACCCACCATACATACAAGTACACACAAGCATCCACATGCCTGGAGGGGGGGGTGAGGAGGGGGAGGCACATTCTCCCAAAGTGACACATTTCCAACGTTTCATAAAAGTTACATGTTGACATCTGACAGTTAAAGCTGTGATGCAGGGAAATTGGAGAAAACACCAAAGATTCACTGGGGACGTTAGTGGTTGGATGGTGAGATACACATGGAAATATCCAGAAGGAAGTTCTTTTTAAAAAAATTTTATTTTAAGTATAGTTGATTTACAATGTTGTGTTAATTTCTACTGTACAGCAAAGTGATTCAGTTATACGTATATATACATTCTTTTGCATATTCTTTTCCATTATGGTTTATCACAGGATATTGAAATAGTTCCCCATGCTATACAATAGGACCTTATTGTTTATCCATTCTATATGTAATAGTCTGCATCTGCTCATCCCAAACTCAGAAGGAAGTTCTTGAGCCTCCACCAGCCAATGGTGTGAACCCCACCCTTGGGTCCAGCACGTCTCACTGAAGCCTCAAGCCTCCTGAGAGGTTAGGGCAATCATTATTCCCATTGCACAGATGAGTTAAGTGAAGCTCAGGAGGATTAAGTAGCTGGTGCTTGTGACCCAGCTGGAAGTAGTGGAAGCAAGAGTTAAGCCCAGCCCCAGTGGGTCGGTCACACTGCTTGTCACTCATGATTGGCCACGGCTGGCTGAGGGCCACCCAGGCATAGCCTGACTCACAGTGGCCTTTTGCATAATTCATCCTTACAGAGCATCATGTACCTCCTAAGTGCCAATCATCATTAAGGGGCTCTAGTCTGGAGGAGGAGATGATGGTGAAAACAGATTATCTCCACAGTTGTGATATTGTGGGACCCCTGAGGAAAGACACAAGGATCAGCCCTCAGGACTTACAGCCTGGGCCGTAATGATTTGTTCCTCACACCTCCCGCTCTGCCCCGTGAGCTCCTCAAGGGGGGGTGGGGGGGAGGGGGGGAGGGTGAGTTTTACTTCTTTCTCTATCTCCAGGGCCTGACACAGGGCCTAGCCCTTAGTATGTACTCAGGTAATGTGTGTTGTCGTCAGCTTGTAACTTAGGTCTAAGGCCTTTTTATGGGGCTGCAGAGATAGAAAGTGTTGTTCTGACACAGTGCATGCTCACAGAAACACCCCCTCCCGTGCCCAGACACATGCTCCATCGCACACGCACACACACGCACACCTTGACACTCTACAACACAAGTCCAGGCATTCAGTGACACACAGACTCCCCCATACCTCCCCCGTGGCTGTCTAAATTCCTAGGCAGACCCACAGCTGCTCCCGGACCTACACGTTCACACAGGTATGCCAGAGAAGCATTCTTAGACATCCACATGCAGCTACCTGTCTCCAAGAACCAGCCCAAGGCAGCCACGGCTTGGGGATGGAGTTCTCCTGGCCCCCTGCGCGCGCAAGCGCACATACACACACACCATGGAGGTCACAAATGAGTGATCTGAAAGGCTTGTGTAGGCTGTATCAAATCCAGCTTCAGGCCTCTTCATCCTCCCTGCAAACCTGCCCCCAGACCAGGCCACCCTGCCTGAAGCAAACCCCCAGGAGCCATTCATCCTTGTCTGACCCCAGGTCCCCCAGAGCTCCAAAGTCAAGCCCAGGCCCCAGGCAGAGCCCGGCACTCACACGACCCTCTGTGCTCACCACCAGGCTGTGAGCAAGTGGAAATGAGGGATTCCAGGCTGGCAATCTCTCTCTAACCACCCTCAGGGCTGCACCGGAAATAGACTCGACCCAACAGGAAGTGGGGCAAGTGATACCCAGTGGCTCGGAGGGAAGGCACCAGCGCCCAAGCCAAGCCCGAGGCATGGCTGCTCAGGGGAGCTGGTCCCGGGGAGGACCCAACCGGACAGGTGTGGGTGCGCTCACTTGTCCCTCTGCCTGGGCTCCCCCACTCCCTGCGACCTAGCTTTCTGTGTTATGGCCTCATTGTAACCAGTTCTGTTCTGACCACTCCCATCCGTCCTACCCCAGCACATCTGAACTGGCCTTAACTCTCTCTCTCTCTCTGATTTGGTCCCAGGGGCCCATGAGGTATCACATGGGGCATCGCTGTCCCCCCTCTACAGATAGGACACTGGAGTTCAGAAAGGTAAGTAACGTCTTCAGCATTATGGGACTGATCGGCACTTGGTGGCTGGGTACTTGATCTTTCCAGAACATCAGACTGAAATAGGACTGAAACTAAGTGGGAAAAGTGGGCCACAGAATTCCACACGTGGGAGACACAACTATGCTTGAAAACAGCCAAAAAGATGGGAGAGAAGGATACGAAGATATTACTTTTTTGTGGGTGCCTTGGAGGTTGCGAATGTGTGTTAAAAATGTTTTTATCCTCTTTGTATTTTCCAATTTTCTATCGCAAGCATATTTAACATTTATAATGAAATTTTTTTTTCTTAAATGTGGGAGGGAACAAAGGCACAAGAATAAATCTCTAATGGTAGAACTTTTTTTTTTCCCCCATTTTTTGGCCACACCATGAGGCATGTGGGATCTTAGCTCCCCAACCAGGGATCGAACCCGGGCCCCCTGCATTGGAAGCGCAGAGTCTCAACCACTGGACTGCCAGGGAAGTCCCTCTAATGGTAGAACTTTAAGCATTGGCAGGAAAAATATTTGGGAGGGGAACCGGGAAGGTATTCCTGGACATTCTCCTATGGCATCCATCTACCTATTCTTCTATAGGAAGGGCTCCTGTCCTCTCTTGGGGAGCTTGTGCTATAGCTGGCAGGGCACACGTCACCCATGGCAATTCCAATCCGAGCCCTTCTTACCTCTGTTCCTTCCTCCCTTCCTAGCCTTCTTTGCTCCTGAACTATGTTCTGAGTGGAGGTTGTGTTGTATGGAAGGTGGTATGACGCTTCCTTGCACCTCCGCCCCTGCTTCAGGCCCTTCTCCAGCCTTGATTCAACAGCATCTTTTTTTTTGGCCACACC